AAGTCATAAACAAGTCATGGATCAAGTTAGGTTGTAATTAGAAAATAAATAACTGTAACTGTGCACTTGCTCTGGAGCAGTTCCCGGCCAGACCTGAAGAACGTAGAGTTCCTTATAGCCAGTCTGCACCCTAGACAGTGTTACTATGAGTTGGAACCAACTTGATGGCACTTAACAACAATCTGCATTCAGGTACATCACAGCAGAGATAGGCATGGGGTCAGGTAAAGAGAGGGCGATACACAGGGCTGCCATAGTCTGAGCATGGACTGGTCCCACAGCAATCAAGGGTCATTGCCTATGCACACCCAGGCCCCACACAGTGCTGGCCTCACATGAAGCCAGCTGGCAGGTTGGTGCAGGTACAAATATGGGCACACACTGCCCAGTGGGCCCCCAAAGCAGATCCATCTTGTCTTACCTAATTAGGGACAGGTAACCTCTCTGCCCCCACAGCTCTCACATCAACCCCAAAGCATTTACATAAGCTAGAAATTCAAATGGTCTGAGTCTTGTAGCTGACCAGTCAGAAAGCAAGATGGAATGTACTTCTCAACCACTTAAATGACTTCTCTAGCCCAACATGCACACACTTCCTGGGATAGGGCTGGCCACTCTGGCAAGGACTGTTTTGGGGGTGGAAAGTTACTTCTGCATTCATTGGAGAAACTGGATTGCAGATCAGAGAAGTAATCCTGCCAGGAGAAGGGCTGCATTAGAAACTTGAGGGTAGGTTAGTGACAATCCAATGCTGGAAACCAAACCTCCCGATCAACAGACATCAAGAGGAGGATTTAACATGAAATCAGTTGGGAGACATAAATAAAATTGAAATTGAAGCCATCAACATGTAAAAATATTGGTGTTGCACACTTAGGAAAATAATGCTCAAGGGATGGCACAGCATGTTCAAATATATAACACATACCTCTGGTAGCGTAGTGGTTACGAATCGGGCTGCGAACCGCAAGGTCAGCAGTTAGAAACTACCAGCTGCTCTACGGGAGAAAGATGAGGCTTTCTGCTCCCGTAAAGATTTACAGCCTTGGAAACCCTGTATGGGGTCACTATGAGTCGGAACTGACTCCACGGCACGTAACAACAACAACATTACTTGCACAAAGATGTTGTCATTTTTAAGTTCCAATGAGTTAGTTCCAACTCATGGGGACCCTGTACAGGGTTTTTGAAAGCAACTGGTGGGTTTGAACTCCCAACTATTCAGTTACCAGTTCAGGACTTATCCTATATCGCCACACAACTTACGTAGTTTAAACATAAGCCTCTTATTTAAAGCAAGGGGAGCACTGTGGCTTCATACAATAAGCATTGGACTGCCAACCACATGATCAGCAATTGGAGCCCAACAGTCACCCCACTGGAGAAAGATGAGACTTTATGCTTCCCACAAAAATGTACATCCTCAGAAACTCTGCACAGGGTCACTATGAGTAAACCAGCTCAGCAACACGTAACAACAATAAGTTAAAGCAAAAGGTTGGGGGGCAGGAAGAATGTGATTTTCACTGCTACCCACAGACCATTGCTTCCACAAATATTACCACCCAAAATCATTGGCTTCTACTGCCCTTACTCACACCTGTCACGTAATCAGAACAGCGAAGTAAAAGCATCTAAAACACAGGCTTTTTGGGTCTTACAAATGTTAATTAAATCCCAAGTGACACCATCTGTATGATCATAAGCAGCATGTTCTTCAGGATTCTCATTCCCTCAAAAACAGAGTAACAATGATGAAAACCCCAGTTTCACTGGTTGGCTGTTTGTGGGTTCAATTAAACAGCTTATACAATCCATTACTCCCATCCTCACTACCTATTGTGAACTCCTAGATTGGCTCTCATGCTTCAGTTTCAGGCTTCTTTTTTGTTTTTTTGAGGAGGTTAGACTGCTAAAAGACTTCATTACAGACGCCTTACAAAAGGTGGCAAAAAAGGAGCCAAGAAGAAAGTGGTTGATCCATTTTCTAAGAAAAATTGGTATGATGTGAAGGCACCAGCTATGTTCAATATAAGAAATATTGGGAAAACACTAGTCACAAGGACTCAAGGAACCAAAGTTGCATCTGATGGACTCAAGGGTCATGTTTTTGAAGTGAGTCTTGCTGATCTGTAGAACGATGAAGTTGCATTTAGAAAATTCAAGCTAATTACCGAGGATGTTCAGGGCAAAAACTGATTGACCACCTTCCATGGCATGGATCTTTCCCATGATAAAATGTGCTCCATGGTCAAAAAATGGCAGACCGTGATTGAAGCTCACGTTGATGTCAAGACTACAGATGGTTATTTGCTTGGCCTGTTCTGTGTTGGTTTTACTAAAAAACGCAACAACCATATTCGGAAGACATCTTATGCTCAGCACCAACAGGTCCGTCAAATCCGGAAGAAAATGATAGAAATCATGACCCGAGAGGTGCAGAAAAATGACTTGAAAGAAGTGGTCAATAAACTGATTCCAGACAGAATTGGAAAGGGCATAGAGAAGGTTTGCCAGTCAATTTATCCTCTCCATGAGGTGTTCGTTAGGAAAGTAAAAATGCTGAAGAAACCCAAGTTTGAGTTGTGAAAACTCATGGAGCTTCATGGTGAAGGCAGTAGTTCTGGAAAGGCTACTAGAGATGAGACAGGTGCTGAAGGTGAACGAGCTGATAGCTATGAACCACCAGTTCAAGAATCTGTTTAAAATTCAGACTTTTAATGGTGACAAATAAAAGGTTTTATTTGTGTGTGGGGGGGGGAGATATTCATTCAATAAATATCTAATGACTGAAGTGCTAAGTTCTATACCGGAGGTGGCAGCACAAATAGTGAACAAAACTATTTCCTATTCCTTCGGTGCAAAGAGGTAAAGTTTTGGTCCTAATTTGACAAGCACATGATTCTCTTTGTTCCTCAAAAAAAAAAAAAAAAAGAAAAACACTAACGTAATAAATAATGGCTCTTTGCATGAAATCTGTAAATTATTTTGGGAAACATTAGTAAAACTCTGACTTAATAAAGTACTTTTTTGAGAGAATTTTAAACAACAAAAATAGTTAAATTACTTCTATACATAAAAGAAGATAACTGCTGAAACTGACATTATTCGAATCTTCAATGAACAGATTTAATGTTTACTAGCATCTCTACTATGGAGCTCTGGTAGCGAGTGGTTACAAATCGGGCTGCTAAGCTAAAGGTCGGCGGTTCAAAACTACCAGCAGTTCCGTGAGAGAAAGATGAGGCGTTCTGCTCCCGTAAAGATTTACAGCCTCAGAAACCCTGTGCAGGGTCACTTTGAGTTGGAACCGACTCCACTGTACTTAACAGCAACAAGCATCTCTACTTAACCATGTTACTTATTACCCAAAATGACAACAATGCATACTCCATTGAGTTCAGTTCCCCTTTTTTTCTGCCCATTTAAAGGCTGTCTTTACTGATGAAGTGATGAGTAAATGACTTTCAATACAGTACAGTATTCCCAAATAACCATATGCATAATCAAGTATGAAGTACAAGAATCATACAATTTCTTAACTCATCACATAAAAAGGTGCAGAGCATAAATATAAATTGGCTCAAGTTATCATGATATAGGAAAGTACTTAAATAATATGGTCTAGTCACAATTGTTTTTTGTTGTTAAGTACCGTCGAGTTGGTTTTGACTCATAGTAACTCTGTATAGGGTTTGCCGAGGGGTGGCTGGTGAGCTTGAACCACCGACCTCGCGGTTCAAACAGACCTTGCAGGCCAACGCATTAACCCACAGCGTCACACCAGGACTAATTCAGTAATTGCGAATCTACTGTGTTAGGAAAGAAACTAATTGGATGAAGCTGTGTGGCAATCATTATCAGCCTATTGAATCATGAATCATTTCTATAGTATTGAGAAAGAACAGCAAAGCTTAAGAAAAAGTATAAATCAAATAATGCAGGAATCGTAAGTGACATTCCAAAGACACTCTCCGCCTTTGGAGACCTATTTCTCACCGTATAAACAAATAAAACAACAAATAAGGTGTATCTATCCCTAACCACGTGAGACTTTTTTTTTTTTAAGTCTGAAAATTTTTTGCCCATGAGGTTACTTATAAGACATTAAATATAAATCAGATCTTCAAACCCAAAACATATTGGCTAAAAATAGTGTACCTATTTCAAAAGCTGAAGTAGAAGCCTTCCAACAGAAAAAACTAAAATTAGGTCTTTTCCATCTCCGGACTTTTAAAATGACCCTTCATTTATGTTTATATGGCACACAAACTGATGCCCACATAGTCTCTTCTAAACTAGCTGGTCGGAGAGCATCTAGTTCTTAAAACCTTCAGGAACAAGTCTCCGAGACTCGTGTATGGAAATTTATCTTGATTCTGGCTAAAATCCAAACTTAAGAACAATACAGAAGTATTGTACTAATAAGAATGACCTCTCCTCAATTACTTTGTTCTGAAACACTCCACACCACAAAAGAGAGCCACTATCGTTTTTTCAGGAGACAGAGGGAAGAGCCCTGTACAAAAAAAGCTGACAGGTGAACAAACAGCAGGTAGGCTCCACCTGGGAAACAGAGCAACTGAGCGCAGAGAGGAAGGACGTGGTCATAGGGGAGGGTCAAGGCGGGGACCAACACCTAAGGGCGGCCCCACCCATGAAGGTACCTGTGAGCTAAGAGTACAGCAACCCTTTAACCCTAAGCACTGCCCAAACCGCCACCCCGTTCCGGGCTCCCAACCTGGCCCGGTCACCGTCCGGTGTTGGGTCCGAGTAGCTCAACGCGGGGACCGGCGACTCTGACCTCTCAGCCGCCTCCGGAGGGGGTAAAGGTCAATTGAAGCCCGGCATCCACCCTTCCACCCCCCTCCCGTCAGGACTGGGGCGCGGTGGGCGCAGATGCGGCGTCCGGTCGAGCCGAGAGGGGCACCGACGCCGAGACGACGGGAAGGTCACCAGCCACAAGAGGCCCAGGGCAGAGGCAGCGACACCCGCGTTACCTTTGGCCTCGCAGTCGGCGCAATACTTGTTGTCCTCCTCTCTCAGCAGCTTGGACAGGATGAGCTGGTGTTGCTCGTTCAGCTTCTGAGCCTTCTCCCGGCAGGAACGCGTCGCCATCTCGGCAATTGGGCGGAGAGTCCGGTGCAGCTGTGGCGGCAGACGGGCCGGGGCCGGGCAGGTTGAAGGCACCTGGCGCCGCCGAGTTCGCCGGTGGACTCACCCAGAAAACGGCGGCGGTGGCGACTGCTGGACCTGGAGGAGGGGCGGCGGCGGTGGCGGCGCCGACGTATCCCCGCCTCCTCGCCCGGCCGGCCCGGCAAGCAGCGCCCGAGCCCGCGAGGGAAGGAAGACCGAGCCGAGGCTTCCGGGTGGCGCGGCAGGAAGGAACCCAGGCACCCAGGGCGCTGCGCATGCGCCGAACTTGTCTGGAGCACCGCCAAACCCATCTTCGCGCGTGTGCAGTGGAGCCTTTGCCCAAGATGGTTTGAGAAGGGTTCCTGACTCTGCCCACTGTGGGCTTCTCCACTTTTTAGATGTGGTTGTCGCGGTGATTAGGGCAAATGGTTAATCAAGAGGTAAAGAATGACCTTTTTCAAGAAGGTTACTTTCACTTGCTTCTCTTTCTTTGCTTTTACTGACACAACACTGGAATGTAGAAATAATAGTGATTGTTGTTGTTAGTGTCGTCGAGTCAGTTCCAACTCTTAGTGACCCTATATCGGATTTCCTCGGAGCTGCTGGTGACTTTGAACCTCCGACCTTTCAGCTCATACCGACCCAGCAGTCCAGTGCTTATCTTAACAACGCCACACCAGGACTCCATAGTGATTGGGTTGATTCATTTATCCATTCATTTTTCATTCACCCGCAGTTTCGAAACAGACTCCATTCTGGATTCTAGAAACAAACATGGAATAAAATAGAAAAAAACACCAAAATAGAGGGCAGTGTAAAACTGCCCCCACAGACTGTCTAAGGCTGTAAATCATAAAAAGAAGCAAATTGCCACATCTTTCTCGTGTATAGCAGCTGATGGGTTCAAATTGCCAAGCTTTCAGTTAGCAGTCAAGTACTTAACTACTTTGTCACAAGGGCACACTGTTTAGACCTCCACACCTACCCCTCCAAAAAGTACCATTACTGCCTAGTCAATCCTGATTCATAGTGACCCACAGAGTTTAAAAGGTCACGATCTTTACAGGAGCACACTGCCAAATCTTTGTCCCACACAGTCCCAAACTGCTAGTATTTTGGTTAGCAGCCGAGAGCTGAATCACTGTGCCACTAGGGCTCCTTGAACAGATACCAGAGCTTCCTAATTCAGGGTTATGGGGTATGAAGACTAGGTGTGGCAGTCTGAATTGTCCAGCACGTTGTGACATATATACTAGCTTCTAATATACATGGGAAGGAGCTCTGGTAGCATAGTGGTTACGAGGCGGGCTGCCAACCTCAAGGTCAGCAGTTCCAAACTACCAGCGGTTCCGCGGGAGAAAGATGAGGCGTTCTGCTCCCATAAAGATTTACAGCCTCGGAAACCCTGTACAGGGTCGCTATGAGTCGAAGCCGACTCCACGGTACTTAACAAGTGTTACTGGACTGGTGTAGCTCTGGAGGATCAGCACTATACTGCTCACTGCAAGGTTGGTGGTTCAAACCCACCAGCCGCTCCTTGGAAATTCCATGCAGGGTTGCTATGAGTCA